GGATTGCATGAATGACGAATCAGAGTGAAAATGGACTTTATATCTACATATGATGAGTTCCTTTCCTTTTCAGGATGTATGTTTCAAGCCACTGTGTCTGTCTGTGCTACACTTAAAATAGAATTACTTTTGCTGACAAAACTTCACAAAACACTCTGACATTCACAGCTGATGATCTCATATCAAATATTGAAAGATATCTGGAGGATATTCTGTTGTGTCTTAATATTGTAGCTTTGCACCACTAGTTATCCAGGTTTTTTATGCTGCATTTATATTTTCTAACGTATATATCTTTTTAGCTATAGGATATCTGTCAGTATGGAAATCCAGCTGAGTGTATGAGCTCCTGAACAGAAGTTCCCTTCTCAAAGAAGGGAACTTAAATGAAGCCCAACACTCTTACAGGTTTCTAAGCAGGCCTATATACCTCTCTTGGCTTGGTCCAGTTAATTCCCATCTTTTATTGAAAATCATGATTACACAGGAGGCTTAGTCCCAAAACCACATTTTGTTACATGCTGTGGATTAAAAAACCCACCCGTCACAAACCAAACCAAAAAGGTAGTTTGGTAGTTTTCCACAAGGCAGGAGATGAGAAACTGAGTGTCAAAGACAGGTACAGAGTTACAGCCTGAAGTGATGCTTTTCTGTTTCTTGTTTTCCTTCTCACAGTTCTGCATCTTACCATTTCTGTGCTTTAAATAATGACAATTCTAGGGTTTTAAATTGAGAGAACAAGGTGTGTGTGATGTACCATAGCTGTGAATCAGCAGAGGGCACTATGTGCCTGTAAACCTTTGTAACTGTGAATTAACATACAGATTGACATTTTGGTGAAGTTAGCATCAGTTATGCCAATGTTCAGATGATTTAGCTGAGCAAATATCTGTGCTCATTCAGTGATGCAGAGAATGCACTGCACCATCTTGTTTCTTCCAATGAAAGCTGACTATATTTATAGGATGTTTTTATCACACTATAAAAAATGTATGGATCATTGGCACCAGGGGCTTCAGTTCACCATATTGCATCCCACTCAGGTGCTACCTGGCTACATAATGTTTAGGGCACCATGAAGTTGTCTTGTACCTGTAAAACTAGACTTTATCCTGAGATACTACTCTGCATTGAGATACTGAAGATGTTTCCTGGCAGAGCTAACCATTCACTCTCTGTCACCCTCACAGGAGGAGGTGTGTGGGATCCAGTCCCTCTGCTCTCTGAAGTGCTGGGGTTGATATTCAAGGGGCTACTAAGATTAAGTCACCATGCTGTGGGGCTTTTTTCTCCCTGTAAAAGCCCACCTATGTCAGCAGCCACCTTTGTAAGCAGCAAGTGACCCATACAACGACAGGTAGTCCTCCAACTGCTGATGTTGGTGTTTTGCTTTTAGAGGCATTGCAAGTGGCATCATGAAACAGTTTCTAATAAAAATATATGCCTATGTTAAATCCCAGTAAGCCCTAAAAAATTAAATAAAATTAAGAAATTCTTCTAAGTATTATAGTACTGGTATTGAAATATGCCAGCTGATCAGAAGGGGTGGGGGGATTATAATGGTTTTATACTGCTCTGATTTAAATATTTGAAAAGGGTATGTTTTGTGCATTTCAGGGCATATTTTCATCTATCTCTTGTTTTTCTTTAGAGATCATACAGCACCAGGAGGCACGGAGAATGCTATTCTTCATCAATGTGATAGAAATAGGCAGATTTGCCTAAGTATCACAAAGGTTGTTGTGTTTGCAAAGGTGCAGATTCATCAGAAGTAGAGCTGAAATATTTCGGTTTCTTGGAAACTAAGAGCTGTGTGTAGTCTTTCTTTGGTGCTGCTGTTTTTGTTTCTGTGTAGAGCCTAATCTTGCAGTTTCTTCTCAAACGAAATTCTGATTGACAGCTTGTGGAGTTTTGTTTGTGTAAGAAATGAGGATCAGGCCTTAGGTAATGTCATAGGAGCTCTTCAAAGATTCACAGAAGACTCCCTAACTGTGACGACTTATTAATTTTTTTTTTTTATTTTTCCAGGTTGAAGTTTTTTCTTGTGCTTTAAGAGACTTGTCACCCCAGATTTCTGCACAAGAGACATACCCAAGATTTCCCTTTCAGCAGTTCAAACACAGTGAAATAGAAGAATACTAAAACAAAGATATGTTTTGTGTGTCTCTTAGCAGGGCACTCATGAGGAAGCACCATGGGGAATTAGTAAGATGTGAGTTAACTCAGAGGGGATACTCAGTTAGGATTGCCTCTGGCAGAGCAGGAAGCTCAGAACAAAATCAGTAATTGGAATAACCCATTCCGATGCTGCCCCAGTTCTCTTGAGCACAGCAGTTTACATGTTTCATACATCTAAATCTAGGAAATGCCATGTACTCAAAACCAAACTGATATGCTCTGTCTTTGGAATATCTACACAGTGTTTACACTAGTGAAGGCTATCTGCAGTGTTAAGAAGAAAGCATGGTAAAACTGACTTCTTTCTGCCATAATAGTTAGTTATGGAATTTTAATGTGCCCCAAAAGCTAAATGGTAGTTACCAACATGTTTCAGATGTTACTACCTGGGATGGGAAGGTACTGAGTCTGAGAGCTTTTGCTCTTCTTGTATAGCCTTTTGGCAGCAGAGTATGAAGGTGTGCCCCAGTTCAAATTAATTTCAATTTAAGAGATTCCATAAAATACCCAGATGTCCATGTTGGGACCAAATGCTTCTGATGAAACAAACTCATTGAGTTCATATCCATCTACAGGAAATATGTTTTCTTGATTGAAGTTTAATGTATTTTCATATGGTTGAGCACAAAAGCTGTAGTAATGTACTTTTGTTCCATGCTGAATGAAAAAAACCAAACCAAAACAACCATCCCTTTTCAGGAGTATTTGTGAACATGTACTGTAATATCCATTCTAAATGGACATGACAGCCTTCTAAATGCTAGGTTTAAAATCTTGTTGCCTCTAGCTCATGAAGTGACTGGAGATCTACTCTGCCTGTGACAAAATTTTGGATTGACAACTTTTTGAAGTTTGATGTTTTGGCATCTTACCAGCCATAATCTCCTCAAAAGCACTGCAAAATGAAATTGTTATTTTGCAGCTGATTCTTTGTATATAGCAAAGAATTAAATCTTTTCATCCCACACTTTGCTTTCTTCCTAACATTCATTACCTTGGTGTTTCTGACAAGGATTCCATTAGAGTCCTGAGTCCATACAAAGACTAGGGAAAAACAGTTTCTTCTTCACTTTCTCTAACCTGTTGGGCTTTTTTTTTTGTTTTGTTTTGGTTTTGTTTTGTTTTGTTTTCCCTAGATTAATTTTCTCTCACTTTTATACTTAGGTTTGATTTTTGGCACTACTGCCTTTTAAGTATCTCTCTCTTTGAATTAGAAGTCCTCAAGTTATTAGCCAGCATTTTTGAAGGTTATATCTAATTTTGTTATTTCTGGACCAAGTTTTGAGTCTTTCAAGATCCCTGTGTTCCCCTTTTACTCTCTCTTCTGGTGCTTGAGAACAGCTGCAGATTTGAATAATGACCCTTCTTTCACATTATTAATAAAGAGGCTAAATCAAATCAAGCCTGTCGCTTCTTTGTGTAAGTGGTCTTTGAATAGTTCTCCTCAACAAGACACAGTTGTTACCTGGTTCTAAATATTAAATCTTGATGCAGTATTTCTTTTGAAGCCAGTGTAAATATTTTTTTTAGTGATGAGTTGGTGTGGCACTGCATAAATATTTATTAAAAGTTAGTGCTTCTACTAATTGACGCTCATCTGATGCAGTCCCTACTTAAATACATAAGTTTTGAAAATCAGCTGTAGCAAACGGTATGGCCTTTATTATTTATCTACTTTATGGACTTCAGAATGAATTGTGAAAAAATGAGTAACCACATAATGCTAATGAGCATTTCTTTCTGAATTTTTGAACCTGTTATGCTGCCATCCCTATAGTCAGCCAAGGAAATCCCATGTAAATAAAATATCTCTATAAATTACCTGTTGTCTTCCATTCTTGGTTAAGCTAGACTATCTGAATATCTAGTAGTGGAAATATAGGATGTTTGTATTGGCCACATTATCACTCTCACGGATTTATGGCCAGGGGTGCTGGATTGGAAGAATTACTCTTTAGTAGTAAGTACTACATTTTCTGTAGGGCTGGGGATTTTTAGCTTAACCAAAACTATTTTTTTCCAGGAGGTCTCCGAGCTAAGATTTTAGTGTATAATAAATCTTGTCATAGCTGCTTTTGTCTGATTTTAAAAGGGGAAAAAAAACAAACCAAAACAATAAATACAATTAACAGCAGTCTTTTCATGAACATTTAGGAGAAAAAAAAAGTGTAACATGTTTCTCTTTTTCATTAACAAATGGCCAATTAATTTTTCATCTCAGTTGGGCAGTGTTGTTCCATCTCTTTTTTTTTGGGGGGGGGGGGG